TTCCCCCAGCCCGCCACGTTCACCTCATGAAACAGACCGGTGTGTTCTTATGGCGAGGATGTGAAGTGTTCGGGTCATAGGGAGGGATCCATTCAGTGTGTGCGATAGAGAAGTCAGGGATGAACAGAGGGGAACATACACCAATCCCAAGCCGATGCCGGTCTCCTACATTCACCTGAAGGCCTCATGAACACACGAGACCGATCATTCCAAAAAATAAATAAAAGGGGCCCAGAGAGCGCAGGGGGCCCAGAGACACACCGGATGGGGAGATTCAAGCTTCAGATATACAGTTAAAGACACGACGCCATATCTGCAGGACGAGGATTCAGATTCAACGACAGCAGCGTAGACACAAGATGGCGGTCACATCCCTGAGACACATGGGCGAAATTTACAATAAGGATCCTGGGTGAAGGTCAGCGGGCCGGGCAATTGGGGGGATCGTTTCAGGAGAGGAATACTTGGGGTGACGCTGGACGAATTCTGCGGCCTTTCTTCTTCTGAATATTACGGTAGATTGTGATCCCTACGAGAGAAAGAACAAGATAGACATTAGGATATTCTGTAACGCTTTACATATTATATACAGGCCAAAGCGACCAATCAAAACATTCATTATAAAGACCATCTCCAAGCAGCTTGATGTTCCTGTGATCACAGTTGCAAATATTGAAGCTCGACTCCAGACACCTAAAAAAATTTGTTTTTAAAAAGAGATCTAATTCCGCTTAGTGTGCGCCAAATGCCTTTGCAAACCCGGATACCAGCTCAGGTGTGACATCATCACTGTGCTGTGGGAGGGGCCCAACAGGCTCCCTGCAGAAAACTACAGGAGGGGGCGGAGACAAGACCAGTTACCCTGCACAAGGAGAGAGAGCTATGGTGACAGATAATACACATGGTGCCGCCTCCCCCCAGTCCCAGTCCGAGGATAGTCTATGGGGACAGATAATACACATGGTGCCGCCTCCCCCCAGTCCCAGTCCGAGGATAGTCTATGGGGACAGATAATACACATGGTGCCGCCTCCCCCCAGTCCCAGTCCGAGGATAGTCTATGGGGACAGATAATACACATGGTGCCGCCTCCCCCCAGTCCCAGTCCGAGGATAGTCTATGGGGACAGATAATACACATGGTGCCGCCTCCCCCCAGTCCCAGTCCGAGGATAGTCTATGGGGACAGATAATACACATGGTGCCGCCTCCCCCCAGTCCCAGTCCGAGGATAGTCTATGGGGACAGATAATACACATGGTGCCGCCTCCCCCCAGTCCCAGTCCGAGGATAGTCTATGGGGACAGATAATACACATGGTGCCGCCTCCCCCCAGTCCCAGTCCGAGGATAGTCTATGGGGACAGATAATACACATGGTGCCGCCTCCCCCCAGTCCCAGTCCGAGGATAGTCTATGGGGACAGATAATACACATGGTGCCGCCTCCCCCCAGTCCCAGTCCGAGGATAGTCTATGGTGACAGATAATACACATGGTGCCGCCTCCTCCCAGTACCAGTCCGAGGATAGTCTATGGTGACAGATAAAACACATGGTGCCGCCTCCTCCCAGTACCAGTCCGAGGATAGTCTATGGTGACAGATAATACACATGGTGCCGCCTCCCCCCAGTACCAGTCCGAGGATAGTCTATGGTGACAGATAATACACATGGTGCCGCCTCCTCCCAGTACCAGTCCGAGGATAGTCTATGGTGACAGATAATACACATGGTGCCGCCTCCTCCCAGTACCAGTCCGAGGATAGAGTGATAGATGGGTGCTGCGTCTTTCTATGCCCAGCAAGGGGATGGAGTACAGTGACAGATGTTACATGGGATTGCTGCCTCCTCCTCGGCGCGGCTCAGGTCATGGAGTAGGAAAAGCCTACATCTCAGGAGCAGAAATCTCACAACATAAGGGCATTATAATGACGCAGGAAGCGATTATTTCTTACACGAGTAAAATCTACAGACCGCCATAAATCAGGTGAGAACTTGTCACTCCCATCATAGTTCTAGCCGACGTGTGACAATGAGACTGTCACAGGTCGGCTCAGTAGATCGAGAGTCCGCCTCCTCCCAGTACCAGTCCGAGGATAGTCTATGGTGACAGATAATACACATGGTGCCGCCTCCTCCCAGTACCAGTCCGAGGATAGAGTGATAGATGGGTGCTGCGTCTTTCTATGCCCAGCAAGGGGATGGAGTACAGTGACAGATGTTACATGGGATTGCTGCCTCCTCCTCGGCGCGGCTCAGGTCATGGAGTAGGAAAAGCCTACATCTCAGGAGCAGAAATCTCACAACATAAGGGCATTATAATGACGCAGGAAGCGATTATTTCTTACACGAGTAAAATCTACAGACCGCCATAAATCAGGTGAGAACTTGTCACTCCCATCATAGTTCTAGCCGACGTGTGACAATGAGACTGTCACAGGTCGGCTCAGTAGATCGAGAGGTGAGCGAACACATACCGGCGTTCGCTCACCTCTCGATCCTGTCACGGCTCTCTGCCGTAGTGGTTATTAAATACCACCAAAAGAAAGCTCTATGTGTCCCCAAAAAAATGGTATAAAATTCATTTCAGTACAGCGCTGCATGACGGAATAAATGTCAAAGTACCGCAGCGCTGAACACTGAACAATGGCCGGGACAGGAATTTTTAGTTCAGGTGGGAATGGGAGAAAGTTACATATTCTTTTTAGGTTTTTATCTGACCACTTTTGGGGAGATTTCCCCTCACTTCCTGTCCCTATAACCTCTGTACAAGAAACTGGGATGCGGTTGTCCCTCGGAGAGCATGTTTGGGATGCAATGCTGAACGCGATTCCGTATTGCATTATGCAAGGTCAGGTGTGCTGTGGTGCCGTTATTTCTTAAAGGAGAACTATGGGGTTAAGGCTTTTCCCCCATAGTTCTCCTTAGGGTAACGGGAGGACACAAACTAGCGTCCTCCCGTCACCCTAAGCTCAGTATATAGGGAGCTACAGCTCTCTATATACTGAGGCGCCGCAGCTGAAGCGGATCCCGACAATTATATCTGGATCCGCCCAGCTGCGCGACTGACAGCTGGCTCTGCCTATCTAGAGGCAGAGCCAGCTGTACCCGCCCCCTCCCCCGTCCGTTCCGCCAGTCAGCGCTGGTGGATCGGAGCGGGGAATCAAGCCCCTCCCCTGTCACGGCAGAGAGCCGTGACAGGATCGAGAGGTGAGCGAATGCCGGTATGTGTTCGCTCACCTCCCGATCTACTGAGCCGACCTGTGACAGTCTCATTGTCACAGGTCGGCTAGAACTATGAGGTGAGTGAAAAGCCCCTCCCCCTCCCCCCTCATAGTTCTCCTTTAGGACACCCAGCCATCGCATGCAGGTTGGTATTGCACCACACTGCACGGCAACCTATCTCGTTGCAATGTGGTGCGATCTACAAACAAAAAACGACCTGCACTCCTTTGAGGGTAATTAAGCTTCGGCGGGTTCCAGTGAATGGCCTGCCTTACCGCAATGCACAACAATGCGCCCTGTGCTGTTGCATTGCAGTCAACCTCAATACAAACTAGTAGTCCATCACTGGAGCCATTTTTTAAACTTTATTTTATAGTTTATCCGATTAACCGATTAATCGAACGTAATAATCGGCTAACTAATCGATTTTTAAAATAATCGTTAGCTGCAGCTCTGGTGTGAACGAGGGTTAAAATGGCAGCACTAAAAAATAACTGGCAGAAGTCAAACCCTTCCCGCACCCCTAAAACCGATGTCCGTTTAGGTCTCTATTGGGGAGATTTTCTAACCAGCACCGATCACAACGGCTAAAGAACACGTCAGAGATCTCAGAACGGGAAGCAGCTGGTGCCCAGAAGAGACAGATGAACGCAGGAAGACAGGACGAGGTAAAAAACAGACTGCATCCTGCTTGGCATGGAAAAGACGAGGCTCTGGC